GAAAGAGACATCCTGTTGTTCATCTATGAGAAGCAAATGAATTTTTTATGCTCCTTGCCACCTCCCCATCCCTTGACACTGACGTCCTCCCTACAGATTAAGGGCCAAAGACAGAAAGAATTATTCTGTTCTCATTAGACTTTCTCACTGCTCAGGATTTCCCTTGGAAGATTTTGGGTTTAGTATCTCACCCCCAGAAGATGCCTACTCTCCCAAAAAACACTTACAGTGCAAAACACCAAGAACGAGGGATGTACAGTCCCTGTAGTCATAAACTTAATCTATATCACTCTGAACTGAAAATAAATTCTAAGAGAGTCATTTATTTGTTTGGACCTATGCCAGATGGCTTTTGGTCAGAGATGGTCAACATGTACTGCTGCAAAAGACTGCATACTCAATGATGTCTCTCTCCCTCCCCAACAAGAAGTCTCTGAATTCAAGGACTTCATGGCATCTTCACTTCCAGACATCTCTGCCTTGCTACTTTCTGCTCTGTACAATGCCATAGAGGGGAGATGCCAGCATAATGTAAGAAACTGTATTTTCTGACTTATTAATTTAGTGTAAAGCAAACAACCCCTGACATGTACCTGCACTCCTAACCAAGCAGAAATCCTGAAAAGGCAACAACAACAAGGGATAAAATTAAATCCACTTCCCTTTAAATGTGGAGCAGAACTCTATGGCTTAGCAGCATATTGTCTCATTTTTTCTCTACCTCTAATTGGAATAGGGATAAACGCATTGCAGGCAGCTATGACGTCTAACACTTCATAACAGCAGCAGTGTAAGCACCACACTTTGCAACATTGTCAGAAAAGACGGAGCAATCTGAGTATTTGGACAACCACAGCAAATATACATACTACAAACAAAAGAAAAAAAAAAACAGTTAGCTGGATTAACAGCAGGCAGGCAGTGGGGATAATGTCAAGAGTCCTACACACGCATTGCTACAAGAAAAATTGCCTTCTCCTACAGATTCTGCTTTCCTGTTCCACGAGGCATTGGGAACAGTTTGCAGGAACAGCTTTGTCTTGAAGGAGGTGAAGAAGGGAATACTGCACTGCTTTACAGGGCTTGTAGAGCAGACACAGCTCTGGTATGACTAGATTTGGGATGCCTCTCCTTGCACAGGATGTATCACCTAAGGACAATATGTAAGTACTGTACAAGGGGATGGCAAATAGGAGATGACTTGATATGCACCAGTAGGAACATTAGTGATGCTGGCACTGCAGCTGAGGGCTAGAAACAAGCAGTCTCTTAATAGGAGATAGTGCTAACTAGCCTTCTTCCATCATCAGGACAGTCTATATTGCTGTGTTCAGCTCCAGACTGTATAATGTCTTAACGCCCTACTGAAAGCACAGAAGACATGAGTTTTCTGTGTGTTATCTGTTAATCCCAGCTCTCGCAGATACATCCTGAACTGTCCACTCAGCCAGGACCAGACCAGCTACTGGGCAGCCTCATTCACAGGATCGCTGAGGCTGCAAGGAGCCTCTGGAGGTCTCTAGCAAAAGCCTCCTGCTCAAAGCAGGGTCGGCAACAGGGTCAAGTTCACTTGTGTCTCCAAAAGCACCTTCACTTGGCACTGTCTCCCCAGCCACCAAACGGAAAGAAGGCAAAACTCTATGGACACCCCCATTTTTTTTGCATGTATTCTCTGGTAGCTCAGCTAGTGACAGGACATTTATTTCCTGAGAAATAGTTACTGAAGGATGGAAATAACAAATACAGGGAGACAGAAGGCATTCGCACCAAGTTCACTTGAGCACACATCTAGTTCAAATACTAGAGATGACAGATGATAAGATATTAAGGCTTAGTCCCTCAGATATCTCCATTTAGATTAATGGAGGCTCATCACTTTATACAGGGAATCCTGGAGTGTGTGTGTGTGTGTGTCAGGGTGTGTGTATAATATGCTTACACAACTAGATTCTCTCTCAAAAACATACTGCCGACATCAATAGTAGTCCCAGTTTATCATCTTTCAAAACAAAGTCATTAATTCTCTTTTTAAGAGCAGGCTTAAGTTGCAGTGAGCGGTCTAACCACTGCTTTCAGAGCCCAGGTCTGAATGAGCTTGGCCTACAAGCCTGTAACAAATAAACTGCTTTCTAAATAGAGGCATATTCCTCAAAAGAGGTTTTTTGCTTAGATAACGAAGACAAATGTCCCATTTACATGTTAATTAAGCTACACAATTCCCACATGCGTTAAAATTACAAAAACACATGCTTTACAGTGCACACAGCAATAAATCTTATAATTAAGAAAGGGGAGATCACATTTCCCAGAGAAGATGCTTTTACAGAGTTTTAACACTCTTTATATAGAGAGAATGAGCAGCTGGATATTGTACGCCTGGAGCCAGACCCCAACTTTCCTATACTCCAGAGCTGGTACAATATAGAGCACTAGTTGAACTATGGCAACTAGTTGAATTACAGTGACTGGAAGTGTCAGACATTTTGTGCAATGAACCAATTTGAACAAGATTTGAAAACATACTCAAGGGTACACCATGCAGAATAGACAGCAATACCGTCTTTATATTTGAATTCAAATCTCCTGTTCTCCCAGACCTTTCTATCTGTAGTTTGTTGTAACCAATCATGCCATAATATAGGATTGCAGAACCTAAAATTTTCAAAAATGGTTAGGAGGAACACACTCCACTAATACTTTCTTGTTCAGTCTTTCCCCGGCTCATCCACTAGCTTAGGATCAATTGTGTTGGCAAAATGACACAAAGAATTTGCCTCTTGTCTGTATTTTCCTTATGTATTTTCTTTGAATTTCATCCCTCTTTCCAATTGTCCCTTGCTGCTATGACCACTCTTGACTTCAGTACTGCACCGGCAGTACTTCACCCAGTGAATCTTTGAACAACTTGTGTAGCTTCCTGAAAGCAATTCTGTAAATTTAACCTCTCTCAAGATTGTGCCCCAGATGTGTAAAATGTGTAATATGATTTGGAAAAAAAAAATAAAAATAATCCTTCCTTCTTCCCTGCAGAACAGCATCAGCACAGTTATTGGAGTTGCCAGACAGGGAGAGAGTGCTGGGTGTTTCACTGAATGAGAGCGCTGTGATCTCTGTGGTGCCACTGAGGCTCGCACCTTTCGTGACAAGGGGAATTTCTGAACTTCAGCCCAACAGTTTCCCACATGACAGGCTTCTCTCTTCCCCTTCAGGGCACCTCCACTGATACAGCAAATCCAGCCATAAGAGAATCACCTTTGCCAACTGTAAATCAAATACTTTTTTCCTTTTTTTTTAATCTACCTTGGGTTTGTGATCATACCTACTATATGACTACTATAGATCATATCTACTATAGATCTACCTAGATCATGTAGTACAGACATATAAATTTAATGCTGTCCAGAGAACTGCATTGGAAGAGTGCTTTAATCTTCACTAGATCACATATAACTTTTGTTTACATGTGTGATATATTCGAGGCAATGACTATGTAAAGCACCACCGTTCTTACTATGTTTGGATTCTTGCCCTACATAATTGTATGGTATGATCACAGACTGATGCTTGTCATCCTTAGGATACTGAAGATCAGGAAGACACTTGCAGTAGTACCACAGATTTACATTGTAGCCTGGACTTGGGGACAATGAAGGCACTGGAGACGTCCCACAGCACCTCTGCATCGTAACAGAAGAGTTCTCTTCTGTTTCAATATACAAATATACAAGTTACCTTTGAATGGTCCACTCGATCTTAAAGAATCTGTTTTTCCAAGAAAACAGCAAAATTCTTTCTTTCTCTTAATTCTCAGGAAATTTTACATTTTACTTCCTTTTGTCAAATCAGCTGCATCTTAACAATTCCATCTACTGTTTCAGGCACACCAAGTGTAAAATTCATATCCCCCTGAATTCAGTCAGTCATCATTAAACATGGAAACAAGTTTGGTCAGTATTTTCTCTGTACAGGTTAATGAATGTAGAAAGATGAGCACAAAGGTCTCACATAACAGAGGTTTTGCCCACTTTTCAAAAGATTGCAGCTCCAGCAGGCTGATCCCTCCTACAGTAAGCAATAATGGAGATCAGCCTTCAGGTCCACCTCTCTAAGTAACATGTCTGAAAAAATTACGTTAAATGCTTAAGCTCCTGATGGATTTCCAAAATATCCTTACTACTCCCTGAACTATCTGAAGCACATGACATTTCCAGCAGTTCCGTTTCCATTTTTCAGAACTTAGCTAGATTTTAAAAAACATAAATCAAAGCCTATTATTCCACATACCAACCTCAAAGTACACATTTGCAGAAATAATTCAGAAATATTTAGGCACTAAAAATCCATAGGAAGCAAAAGAGAAATTATGAAATACTTAAAAAAAAAAAAAATTGGTTGCTTATTTCCTCTCTACTCTTTATGAAAAAAATCTGGGTTTCCTGTCAGGTTTCAGCATAGGAAGGATTCAGATCAGCATTTAAACTGAAATGTGTCTTTGGTAGAATCAGACATTTCATCATTATATTGTCCTACTGAATGGGCAGTATGTTGCATGAGGTGTACCATATCTTCATGATAAACGTGCTGTAATGGCTAACAAGAAAAATTGTAAATGATCTACTTAAGCAAAAACAGCTAATATATTAAGGGGATGACATGTTCTGATGAATCAAATAATTTTTCCTTCTCTTTCATTTCCCTCTAAAACTTCAAAGCAATCAAATGTTGTTTATGCATAAAATTTAATCCTTTCACCAATCTGTAGTTTGATTGAATTTGCATACTCTATTTCCTACAAGTCAATGTGAAGACAGCCTCATGTAATTGAAACCATTTCCCCTCCAGTCCTCCTATCTTTGCTGTAATATTTTCTATTAGTAGCTCTATTATGCCTAATATCCATAATGTTGGCAGATTAGAATTTTCACTTAATGCAACCTGTATTTATAAACCACTAGGATAAAAAAAAAAGAACAAATACAAGAAGAGGAAACAATAATTACCTGTCTTTGATGCCACACAGATCAATGTGTAAATCACTAAAATTCCCCAGGGAGCCTTGCTGAACCAAAATGAGGTCCTTGGGCTGGTTATCAATAAAGATGAGCCTCATACAGCCTTGAAAAGCAGTAATGGGATTTAAACACTGGGAATCAGTGAAATTGTCAGGGCACCCTGTGGGAAAAAGAGAAGAGGCAGAGAAGAATATTGGAATGTTCATCTATTTCTGCTGGGATTTCCTGATGCAAGAACTTGGAGGCTCATTATTCCAAGTGTTTTCATTCCTTGTGCTACGCAACCTTCTGTGTCACAAATCCTTCAGTAAGAAGAAAAAAAAAGATAACAAAAAGAGGGAGCAGCCACTGAAAATATCAGAGTATGAGGTTTTCACATGTGTCAAGCAAAAAATCAAAATGGGGGGTTTTTTCCATCTTCTTTAAACTCCACAGTTGATAGCAACTGGCCTCTATAAAAAAAGCTGTGCAAATTGTAAAATCATTATGGGTTAAATTCTGCTGCTGAGTCAAGGCACAGAGTAAAAGGATGAAATCCTGTGGACAGCAAGCAACAAAACCATTTGTATCTGAGCTTCCTCAGTATTTGGCCAGCTCTGAGATCCAAAGCCTCCTTGTGCATCCTCACTTAGTGCTGCATCCAGAGGGTTTATCGAGATCAGAGCCTCACTATGGTAAGCACTACACAGAAATATATTAGACAAAAAGACAGCTGATGACACTCCCTTTATCTAAATTAATGCTTGCACTCCAAAAAGCAGAAGGTAGTATTTTTCAAGACTGTTCTTTCCATTTACAAAATTGAGCTAAACCTACATTCATTTCCGTGAGAGCACAGTACCTAAATACCTTTGTAGATCTGAGCCGTATGTCAATTAAGCTCTGAAGTCTAAAGTCACTGAGCCTGATCAGGACAGCGATATCTACAGGAATATTAATAATACTAATAGTCCTCAGGCCTTTTAACTAGAAAAATCACTTGTGGTTAATACAGCTATGCAGCTTTTGTATGTTTTGCCTGCTAGATGTAGGTACCCATTGGATACCACTACCAGTAGTCCACTTTTACAGCTGTGTTAGCAGTTCTGCTTGTTCTCTTTCTGTCAGGGTTGACCAAGACCCTTCGATCTTCCCACAGTACTGTATGCACTGCAGGTCAATAGGGGGTCTAAAATCAGTTATTACAACCTCTGCTTTTAGCTGCAAACAGAGCACAACTGGGGAGACCTCAATGGTGAGCACCTGAGGATCTGCATCATGAAAACCTGTTCTGCAACTGTCTGAAAGAACCTACCTCCAAAATAGTAGCTGTTCCCAGAGTAGATCCTTGAGACAGTGGTTGCGTGGCTAGCAGTGGCAGCATTGTTATCCAGTGTCAAGGTAATGCGATGTCTTCTGGCATTGATATCAACAGAGTGCCAAAGCCCATCGTGGAGATTGGTGCCTGACAAAAAACAAGTATGAAGAGTGAAAAAAGAGGTGCAGGAGACAGCTGTCCTCTTCGAAGCTCATTTTACTTCCAACTTGTGACCACAAATATGCAGCTGACCCCAAAAAAGGGAGAACTGGCAGCTGAAAAGAACTCATTACCTCTGGAAACAAACTGGCATAGAAGAAAAGGCCCAAGAAAGAGAAAACTTTTAAGAGTACTTACATAGGTCATCTCACATTTTATTCTTAACCTGCTTCTGGTACTGCAGGCTCTCATCAAGCTAGCCAGGCCCTGCACCCTTCTAGTAGCACATTGTCACCATTTTGTGGGTGTTCATGTCTATCTTGAGTCGGTTGGGAAATGCTTACAGCTCACAGGAGCACACAGAGGAGATCCCTGTTGAGCTTCTGGTACTAAACACATGCCTGATATTGCAGAGGATTAGATTCAGTGAGATGGTCATACTCAGTCTCAGGATCCAATATGAAACCCGACAAACTCCAGTAGGTATCAGTAGGATTTGTGTTTCTTAAAACCCTTCAGCATTGTTAGCACGCAGTCTTATTGATGGATGTACCAAAGCCTTTCTATATTGGATTTTGACATGGGTCTTGTGAGAGCTGGGATTGTTGCTCTGACCAGGAACCTATGAAGGTACGTGAGAGATTATGGTACTGGGTAGCCTCTTTCTCTTCTAGACACTTCTGTGAAGTGGGAAATAACGTCTCTGTTCCTTATTCTGAAAATCAGTGTTGCATCTCATGGCTCTTGAAGTAGCACCACACAGCTACAAAGAAACTTCACATTCTCTATTCTGACAGCCATGAAAATCAGTGGGCAAGCTTCTGAGCTCACACACAGGGGTGCAGATCAAAAGTAACCTAATTACAGTTCAAAATACGCTACTGTCAGGCTGGAGTCACTGAGATCAGGCACAGACAACTAGTATTTACTCCCCTCCCTAATGGAATATTTTTCGTTAATGTAGCTTTCAGAAGAAACAAACGAACACTTAGTGACACAAAGAGGTGTGAGAACAGTTTAAAAAAAAATAAAAAAAATTGTGGGTGTTATGTGCATGAAAAGCCATTTCATTACAAATTTGAAAATGAGACAATTTCCACAGTAATGGCTGTTAACGCACGCACAATTTCCATAGAATAAGAGGCTGGCTTCCCAGCGACAAATGGATGATTTTTCAACTAGAACAAGTCCATTTTGGAGTGAAATATGTTGTTGAGGTTTGAAAAGATATCAAAGCAAAATAGGTCCCATTTGGGGCAAAACCAGGTCCATTCTTGAGTACCATTGTGAGTACCTGACATCTGCAGAACACGGCCCTTGCAATTTCTGCATATTTTCCATGTATAAGTAGGCAGTTTAGCAATATTTTGGATAGCACCAAAGTCTGGGCTCAGGTTCATGATTTCAGAACTACATAAAAACAAATACACCCAACCAAATATTGGCATTGTCTCAGCTTTGTCAACAATTTAATTAGGACTGCAATAAAGGTTGGAAACTCAGTTTTCAGCATTCAATTCCAGCAAGCTGAGGCTGCAGCAGTCTACATGAATAAGGATAGATGCAGGGCTGTCACATTTTCTGTCATAAAGGGGAATGAAACACACATATGGAACAGGTCTGTTTTGACAATTCTATCAGATTTTACCTCTGGTTCTTTTAATAGGCATATCTGCCCTCTTTTACTCTGTACTGGGAATATTTTAATATTACATATTTTTAAACAGCTGCTCTCTTAGAAAATACTATTATTATTATTTAGTACCATCTGAGTTCCATCAGTCTATTACTCATCCACCTTTGGAAACTGGGTATTCAACCTACACAGAAAATTAATTTCTCAGTCTCCCACACAGCATGGCTGCATAGCAGCAAGGGATGTGCAGAGGCCCTGGGCTAAGAACATTTCTCTTCAGGATGCCAGCATGGCTTATATAGGTCAGACTGGGATGGCAGCTGGGCCACTCTGGTCCTGCCTCTGTAGTACAGCCTAAAATTGTTTCCCTGTTGTCTCTGAAAGCCAATGCATAGCTGTTCTGGTAAGTGGTTGCAAGCAAATTTCCCTGAATTTTAAGTCAAAGAGACAATCCCATTTTACCCTCTTGCATCCCACTAGCTGCACTGCACAAAACAACTTGCAAACTGGCTAAGGAAGCCAGTGAGAGAGTGTGAGGAGAGGAATCCCATGGTCAGTCTCTCTTCTGAGCGTAGCATAAAGGGAGAGTGTAAAGCTACAGTCAGAGGAAGAAAATCAGCTCTGAGGCTGCCTTAACTCGTGCTGGGGAACGCTGCAGCAGATGACCTGGAACTCAGCTGACTTCAGCGCAATCTGAGGATGGGAAACAGGAAGGTCTTCATCTGACCTGACTGAAGAAAATTTAGCGTGACTGTTTAAGAACACAGAGGCTGAGCTAATTGTCAGGTAGATTGAGTCTGGAGACCTCAGGATGCCAACTTTCCATGCGTAGATTTACCTCAAGCTGCACAGAGTGGTTCTACCACTGGAAAGAAAGATAAAATTTGAAATGAGAAAGGAAGACTGGGTGCTTCCTTATTTCACCCTCCTTTCATCCTGTGGGGTGGGACCTTTGTACTTTAAAGGGAGACAGGTGAGAGTAAAAAAAAATTAAGTACCTTCACTGATTTCCACTGGGTTCTCCGTCTCTTTCTGAATAAGTAGTGTAAGTCTCCCACCATGGAGGTAAACCAGGAGGGGTCCTGAATTTTCAGACAATTCGGTGAATAGAAGTAAGCCGTCTTTATTCCATGTTCGAAACTGGAAGCTGACTGACAAACCGTCAATTTGAGGAGTGCCGGGTAGTAGCAAGTAGCTTCGACTGGTGCTGACAAAAGTGATAGGAACAATTTGTGGTTCTGAGCAAGAAAAGGTCACGTTCCCCTGCAAATAACAAAAGTCAAACATAATCAACACGACAAATTTTTTTTGGTCATCCCAAAACATCCATAGTTAAACTAACTCATTGGATTTCTAGTGGCCCTCAAGGCTGACATAGGTATTGTCATTCAAACACAAATCTTTGCAACTTATTAGGAAATGTATCTGTCCATTCTGGGAAAACACATCTGATTTCAAAATTTTACTGTCACCCCAAACAGGGGTGGGATTAAAAATCAAAACCTCAGTTCTTAGAAGGACCTAAATGTATCCAAATGTCCCCATGCAAGACCCTGCATGAGTGCAGGAGGGCTTATTTGCTAGCCCAGACAGACCATGTGGCCACATCTGCTTTGTGTTTCCCAGCACCTCCTGTTTCAAGCTCAAGATTAGCTTTACGTCAAGAAAATCAAACTCATTTAGATCTATGCTGACTTCAGGATCTGACACTGAAGGAATAGCAGGTCCGTCTGCACTTTCATGTGCTGCGGGGTGTGATACAAATGTCCCATGTTGACTCTGCACTGATGGGACAACAGGGCAAGCTGCAACTGAAAAAACAAAGCATCCTCCAATGCACAGGGATCCTACCAAACGGACTATATTTATTCTAAATATAAGCCAAAATGCAGCCATTAATGACAGTACTTTTTTTGCCCATTGGCACCAATGTTACATACCCTTAAAAGTAAAAACTCCCTCATCTGTCTGAATCTACCACGTAGGGCAAAACATGAGGCAAATTTCCTGGTTGTATTTCAAATATTCAATATTTAATTTGCAGTAGTACTACTGGATATGTTTGCCTTTACTCAGTGGCACAGCCCTGTGCTACTCCAAATAATAAAAGTTCACTTAATAACACAAATAATTAAAAATAATTATTCTGAATTTATTTCAAAATTCATAAGGAAACTCAAAGAAAAAGTCACTTGAATATAGTACTTAGAGTGGGATGAAATTTCCTGAGAAATGAGATTTCCTGGCCAGTGTTAGGTCCCACAGTTTCCACGGGGCATTTTGAGGAATTATTAAAACATTACATACACAGCAAGCATGGTAAAATCCAACATCTTTTCAACGCAAAACTTAGTTGATTACCTCAGTCATCCAGCCCTGAAATCAATGGTGCTATTGGCCCAGAAGAGCAGCACGTTTACTTAAAGCAATCAGCAGAATCTGCACCAGCATGTGTCACTGTAGTTTGTAGAAGAAATGACTCCACCATTTTGTTCAGCCATTGTAGATTACCCAGGCAGGTCATTCAAGCCACGTAATAAAAACTTATCAATATATAAAGCTGGGATGCGTTTAAGGAGGTGCATCTTTCAAAGCCACTCCAGGAGATTGTTGCAGCCAGCTTGCTTTGAAGTAGGCTGCTTTGTAAAATACCAACTGGAATCTAATAAAAACATCGGAATAAAAGGCTTTCTCCATGGTACCACTTCTCATCAGAGCTGGTATCTCACTCTAACAGGATAATTATAATGAACAACACTTGATGGATGTGTAGGAAGTTGCACAGTGCTTGGGGAATTCCTCTCTGAAATCTCAGACAGCTGATGGAACTGTTCCCTATTACTTTCAAGTGTCTTTCTAGTCTTTATTTTAAAATTGAAAATAAATAAAGTGCCAGAAAGAGACCAAGTTATCACTGGATGAAAGAACCCTTGATAGATATATATATCTATATCAAGCTATCTACATATTCCCTGCCCTGTTAGGTGCAGAATGCTACATACCAGATTTAGCAATGGCAAAAGGTATCCATGGGTATATCATGTCAGAATTGAGTTTTGAGATATAATCCAAAGCTTATCCAAACTCACCTGAACATTAGTCAGGTGGGAAGTAGGATGGAAATTTGCTCTCAACTTTCAAAAACTATCTACTACCTCCTGGGTTTTGCCTGTATAAGAGATGCCACAGGCCTTTTTTGTTATGTTGTTATATTTCCACCTCCATTTTCAATTGAATTCATGACAAATTACAGAAAACAGTCGACTGCAGTGATATAAACAAACATGGTTAACTTTCTCTGGAGCTTTTTAAAGCTTTAGACATTTAAAATGCCAATGACAAATTTTCTTTGGAATTTTAGACACTTACAGTGATTCAAGTAACTCCACACAAAATAGTAAGACATTTACAGATCTTATACATACATAACACTGGAGTTTGGAGGAAAGTTCAAACGTTATCTGGGTCTGCACTCAAGTATCTAATTTGCTTCACTGACAGTGTGAGGCTGTAACAAAATGCAAGACTGTAGAGGAGAGGATTTGCAACATTCGGGTAGGATTTTTGTCTCAGAGCTCTTTGCAGATTTTACCTACCAGCAGAACAAGCTATGCCTAGATGACTTAATGGTGCCAGAGAAGGTGAATGCTAAGACGAAAAAACATGTTTGCAATGCACAACAAACTTTCAGACGACCTTAAAATAAGCCAGCAAAGACCTTGTGTAGTCAATATGCTTTCAGCTGTTTGCAGCAGCACCATAGCAAAGTATCTCATGCATATGCATGTGCTGAAACATAAGGTCAAATTTCTGCCTGCTTTTGATATGAGGTTCTCAGCACGTGCAACTACTCCTAAACTCATGGATTGCTGTGACCCCTTGAAAAACTCAGCAACACTCTAATCATTCACACTAGCTAGTAATTCATGCCATCTGGGATCCGCACATAAATCTTGTACTGGGACAGGAGTGCTGACTGAACCCATGGCCAATGCTAGGACATATGGGCAGCACCTATGTGTCCCCTCCCATGCTTAACCTAGTGAGACCTAAAGTTCTGTAGCCTCTCCATTGACTACACTGAAGCAGGGCAGGTGTGATCCCACCTGCCAAAAGAACAAGCAGATGGGAACACATAAAGGGCGTGCTGCAATATTCTGTATACATGGGATTAAAGGTACATTTGAGGGATAGAAAGCTGGCATGTTTGCCTTTGGGGGGGTTCTTTCAACAAGGTACTTTTGTTACTCTTATTCACAAATTTGAGACCTCCATGATGTAAGGCCCATAACTAATTTTAGTCAGAACTAAAAACTAGCCAAGACATTTGGGAAAAAATGTTAAGTAAACCAATTGATGCCACGGGGACTTAAATCAGTTCAACTGACCTGTTTAGGAGGGAAACACCTTCTTAAAGCAGCATTCCAGAGCAAAAGCAGATGATGTAGTTAATACACACCAACAATAGCTGCTGATGTCCTTACACTGACAAACACTGTCTACCTTCCTAGAGACAATAACATGAAAATTTGAAAAAGAAATACACAACAATTACTTTGAAAAACACTTGTCCACTGAAGTGGGATAGGTTCCCATTACAAAATCTGTTAAATTTGCCCTGAATGTTATCTCAAACAAATTATTCCAGCAGGTATAAGGCAGAATAATAAGCAGCAGCTCCCCCCAAACCTTCATCTGGTGAGGAGCATTTTGCTTTAATTGGCAGCAGTTCTGGAACTCTCCAAGGTACATGCAAGACTTCTGGCAGACACTTGATTTTATAACTGAACCCAGTTTAACTGACAAGTAAAAGCTCATTGGCTAGGAAATGGGATAAGAAGAGTCTAATCCCTAGAGAAAATAAAGGAGATGCTCAGCTCTACCCAGCTGCTGGAAACTCCAGCTATCCTGTGGCATTTGAGAATTCCATTGAGTCTGTCATCTCCAGACTGATTAAGGACTCCTGTAATAAGCAGTGAAATCTTTCCCAAAGAGTTCTTATTGTTCTTACAAGAGAAACCTTCTGAACCTAGAAATGCAATGGAGATATTTGCAATTTGTTCACTGGCTGCCATGACACTTGTCTCCAGAAAAGAGTCCAAGAACCCCAGATTTCTGCAGGCAGGGTACTGTTGCAGAGGTGATTCTTGTTCACATTAAGATGTTGAATGAAAAGGTGACAGCATGTTACTGCATTTTAAGGAAGAATCAGAGCCTTTCCTATTAAAAAGAGAATGGAAGAACACAGTTGCTAAGTGGTGAGGATAAAAGTGGATTACATAGAAGATCCTCTGAGCCATGAGCTTCATCCAACAGTGACTGGAGTCTTTCCAGTCACTTCTGCAGGACTTAAATAAAACCTTTATAACTTTAATGAACCATTTCAGTCTTTTCTGGCCTTTCTTCATGTAGTATTACGTATTGTTGAAAGAAGAGAGAAGACTACTACACCACCACAGTCAGGGCAATTGGTGACAAGTTTCTTATACATCCCCCTCACTCTCACAGAATACAAATCAATAGTATGTACTTGGAAAATTACTCAAACTGACAGCTGAGCTGAAATCCTCAACATTTAGCCTACCAAAGGATACAGGCCAAGATCAGTTTGAACAGGAAGAACAATAAATAAGTATTTCTGAGCTCTCATTCTACCTGTGCATTAGAGCATCAAATGGGAACTTACTTTCCTCATTAATCACTCTATGGATACTGTCCAATAAAAAGGATATCTTGTTTTCTGCAGAGCATTAGAAAGGAAGATTTCATATGACAGGTAAGGGGACTAAAATCCTAGGCCTGGCTGAGATACAAATGCGGGTAAACTGGCAAGAATCTCTCAGCTTGGAAATTGGAGGACTATTTCTAGCTCTGAAGAGACTGAGGTTGCAGACAAATTTGCAAAGAGAGTAACAGAGGAAAAAGGTGACCTCTGATGCAGTTTTAAAAGTATAAGATGAAACATTGTCATTCAACTCTGAGCAACGGGATTTTAAGAATGGGGGAGGTCCCTTCAAATCCTGTTTTTAAATTATCTCAAGCAGAACAGATGTCAGGAGACCCACATAGATTTCAAGTACTTCTTAAATCAAGACACTGCTAAGCACTGAATGAAAAGCAAATCAAAGTGAGATTCCAGCTCCAGGCTTCTGAAATACTGGTGCAACCTGTCTTCAAACAGGATGTGGGAGCACCAAGACACAGGGTGTTACTTGAGTTAGGACTAGTCCACTGAGTGAGCAACTAGTTCATCCCAAGAGCAG